TGTGTGGGTGTTTGTGATTTACTTATATTTACCTACATCAGTGAGTTTATAATATGCTAATGTTCATTATCACTTTCTTCATCACTGTCACTGTCTGAAAAATCAGAAACACTAGGCAACAATGGAAAGTTGTTGCAGAAACTCCATTCCGCTTCGCAGTTACACTTCTCAGTACACTGAAGATTATTTCTCCTACACGTGCATGTATTATTTGAACATGAACTTATTGAACAGGTACATCTGATAACCTCAGCAACTGCTGCAGGGGCAGCCTGCTTTTCTGACAAGACAGGTCTCAATTTACCATCTTCCATAAACCAGCCCAGTTTGCATGGATCATGGATTTCTGGATAAATAACAGTATCCTGGCTCCATATACTGGCCTGCAGATGTACACGAAATACATGCTGATATAAGGCTCCTGCAGTTGGTGGCAGCTTATCTACAACTTGAATGTTTGGCAGAGTTTTGAATTTTTTCCATCGTAAACTTGAGGCATCTTTAGCAGATACTTTCTTCGTTCCGAGAAGACTTTACAAATTCCAGGCAGCCCCTGAAGCAGTAGTTAAGCTTATCAGATGTACCTGTTCAGGTTTAGGAGAAATAATCTTCAGTGTACTGAGATGTGTAACTGCGAAGCGGAAGGGAGTTCCTGCAATAACCTTTCATTGTTGTCGAGTGTTTCTGATTTATCAGACAGTGACAGTGATGAAGAAAGTGATTGAACATTAGCATATTATAAAATCACTGATGTAGGTAAATATAAGTAAATTACAAAATCAATTTTAGGACCTCTTCTTTTTATTATTTCTATTAATGACCTGTCCAATGTTATCTCTAAGTGTTCTGTCTTCATGTATGCTGACGACACTGCTATTTTTTATCCATCTGAATCCATTAATGACATCCAAATTACTCTTTAAAATGAACTTAAAAATGATTCTGAATGGCTGAATGAGAACAAACTCTCGTTAAATATTGACAAAACCAAATCGCAGCAGATCTTGATATTAGGATTAGGGACGCTGCCATTCAAGCCGTTGACAGATTTAAATATCTTGGCATCTGGTTTGATCCATCGCTTTCTTGGAATGTACATGTTGACAAACTTTGTTGTAAGGTGATCGGTAAAATTTCTCTTCAGGGTAGATTACGTCGTTATATTGATAAAAACTCTCTTAATTTACTTTATAAATCTCTCATATTACCTTTATTTGATTATTGTGATCCTGTTTGGGGAAATTGTGGAAAGGGTTTATTAGACAAATTACAGAAATTACAGAATAGAGCAGCACGTGTTATACTTATGGCTGATCACCGAACAAATTTAGTTCAATTACATACTTCTCTTGGTTGGTCATTTCTTAACGAAAGGAGAAATAACCATTTAGTCACCCTTGTTAACAAATACTTGAGTGGCAGAGTCCCTTCTCTCCAAAACGCTTTCACCTCAGTTGACAGTGTTCATAACTATTCTACCAGATCCAGTTCTGCGGGAAATTTAATTTTGTCTAAAGTCAGAACTGAATCTGGTAGAAGAAGTTTTACTTTTAGGGGTTCTCGAATTTGGAATGCGGTGGGTAGGTAAATTTTTACTGAAGAGTTAACCCAGTATAAAGAATAAATAAATAAAAATAAAATAGATAAATAAAATATGTAATATGGTTACATAATACTAACACATACACACACCCACACATATATAAATATGTATATATATGTATATATATATATATATATGTATATGTATATATGTATATAATATATATATATGTATATATATCATATATACATATTATGTATATATATATCATATATACATATATATATCATATATTCATGTCCTTATTCTAATACTCTTACCCTATATATATATTATGTATATATACATATATACATATATATACATATTCTATATCATATATATATATTATATATATATATATCATATATATATATATATTATGGTAATAATCATCATAGCATATGGCAATATAACTATCTCTATTACACATTTTTGTACAGGTCGGTTATATTAATAAGGTATGTATGCTAAAAAGCTAAAACAATGGAAAATGGCAGCCATTTTAAATTGTAAAATCTCAAAAATGTGTACAATATTTAGTTAAGTCATTGTTATGAGTGGATTTCCAATTGAATACTGCATTTTAATGACATAAATTTACAATATTAGTGACAATTTTAGGAAAAATTGGCGGCCATTTTGAAACTGCTGGCAACCCCCCTTACGTATGAAAAAAAAATGTTGCACATACTTTTTTGATTTATCTATGTCTACTCTACATCATATCAATTTTTTTTTAAATATAGCAAAAAAAAATGCAACCAACCAAAGTTTGCTGGACTATA